GTTCGGGTAGCGATACCGCAGAAAAGCAGCCGACGCCGGCGGGATCCGCGGCTCTCTTCGTCCTGGACCCCGACGTACAGCCGCAGCGGTCCGGTCCCCCCACACCCCGCCAACCTCGGCCTGCCCTCGCCGGCACCGGCTGGGCTTTACCTTCGCCGGAGAGAAACCCCAAAATGCAAAGTCCAATAAAGGCATTCCGGCCTCTTCCCTCCGGCTGGGTTGTCGACGCGGGGCCCGCGAGCACACCGCCGCTTCTCCAGAACCGGGTCTCGGGACTCTGCTAGCGCGCAGAGCGGAACTGGAGCGGAATCTGCCGCGGCAGCGCAGGGCCCCAAGGTCGGAATCGCGGTAATCGGAACCCAGGCTGGAACTTGGTCCCCTACTTTACGGATTTGGGAATTTCCTGAATCTTAAAATACCTGAGTCCATTTTCCTGAGAAACTAAGGCATGGAGATTCTCTCGGCAACCCCTGTGATACCTGAAAACCGTCAGGGTCAAAGGGAGAAAACCGGGATTGGCGAGCCCTTGGCAGAAGACGCAGGTCTACAGGAATGGTCGAGGATAAGGGCAAAAGCTCCGGGCAGCAAGGGCAGCGCAGGAGAGGACTTGCTGTCCTTTGCCCTTTGCCCAGTCTGCTTCGGTCCTCCCCGTCTCTGCCCAGGAGAGTAAAGAAGTGAGCTGGAGAGCCGAGACCTGGCTGCCGACTGGAGGATTCGGGAGCCGCACGTCGACCCCGACACAGGCTCAAGTCACCTTCTCCCGGGGAAGCAGCTGCTGGGAAGGGGCGGCTTTGGTAGAGCAAAGACTGACCCTCTGCTTCCCAGTTGTGTGACCAGCTGCTGCCTCTTCCCCGGCCTTTCCTTCCTCGGCTCAGGATTTCTCTGGGAACAGGCGGTGTCCCATGGACTTGGGTGATCGACGGGCCAGGGAGAGAGCCATGGGCTCTACCAGCCACTAACCTCTCAGCCCACTGCACAGAGTTCTGAGTTTAGTACTCAGGAGGGTGCCTCACTAGCAGCCCTCCTGCCCAAATACATCCCAGTTCTCCTCAGGACAGTCCAGGGAACCCCAATTGGCAGGAAGGCTCTGAAAACAGTCCTGAGGCACCTAAAGGACCCAGTGAGGTCCTCCGGGGCCCTACCTGGGCAATCTCTTGCCCTCCCCCAACCAGTAATTGCTTGGACTCTGAGAAACAAGAGCTTTTATTGGGGAGTGGGTGTTAGATCAGTCAGAAGAAGGTAGGTGGTCTCAGCTACACTCCCAAAACTGGGTTTTCTAGTTTGAACTTCTCCACGGCCTAAGAGGCTTACAGCTGGAATGTCCCTGAGAGTCACGGATAGCCCTGGGGGCAGACCACGGGACATTCCTTCCTTTTTCCTACAATCTCTTGATTCTGGGAGCAAGGATTAGAGTGGGATACCCCCACAGGTAGGTAGAAGAATGCCCAACTCCCATGAGGACACTCCAATCACCCTTTCTAAATAAAATCACGAAACCATTCTGAGACAGTCTGTTTTGAGCGAACGCAGGTTCAGAAAGGGTGCCTATGGGGTCTACTTCACCTCCTACAACAGCCCAGGCACCTCTGCTCAGCCCAGCTGGGACACTAAATCCTAAGTATTTTTTAAATCCCAGAACCATTGCTGGCTCTGTGTCGTGAGAGGGGGATGGGAGGGCATGCAGTCCTGGCTCCTGGAAGCCCCCTTGCCACCTCTCCTACTGTCCCACCAATGAGTGAGCTAGAGGCTTCAGCAACAGAGACTGCTGAGTCCCCTGTCAGATCCGGAACCGAGGCACAGTGCAGGTGAAGCCTTCCCCGAGGTCGCACTGAACCTCCACTTTTATCCCTGAAAGAGCGCTTCCTCCTACCGTGTGTGTGTGTGTGTGTGTGTGTGTGTGTCCCCAATGATCCTATGGAGAGGGATAGTACGCAAGGGGAGGACATAGCTGGGGAAGGGGAGAGAGCCTGTACAAGCCCCTTTCCCACCCAGCACCGCCCAGGATCAGGCTATAGCCACCACCCCTCAGTCACTTCCTCCCCTCCATCACGGAGCACTGCCCAGGCCCAGAGAATAGCCCTCACTAACTGCAGCCTCCCTTGAGGTCGGGGACCCTGAGGATACGGAGTTTCACCCAGAAGAATCTGAGGGTCTTTCCATCCACACAGCTGGCATCAAGATTTTCAAACAAAAGGACTGTTGTACCCTCCTGGAGCACTGCCAAAGGCTTGGCCGCAGAGGGGCACACAGCAGGTGCTCAATAACTGCATTAAATGCATCAGTGATAAGGGATGCAAGCCCCTCAGACTGAGTAGCTGCAGCTGCAGAGTCAGAACAGTCCCTGTTCCATGTAGGGCTGGACTCTTAGGGCCCTTTAGCGGGTGGGGAACTGTGACACTCCCCACCCCCAGCCTCTGGAGGTCCCCAGGCAGACCATTCATTTCCACATCCCCACCTAGGGGTGCACTGTGCTTCCCACACTGGCCTGACATTCTCTTCCTGGCCCCTACCCGCCAGCTTTCATGCCCAAGAGCACATGCGTACCTGTACTCAGCACTCCCACATGTGGATTCAGTGAGTATGTGTATGTATGTGTGTCCAGGCCATACCTGTGGGGGTATGCAGTATGTATGTGTGCGTGCATGCTCCGCACCCATCTGCACCCAGGCCGCCCCATGGGGTAGAGCAGCTGTGTGGAGGATGGTGTGTGAGTTGGCACTCCCCAGCATCGGCAGCACCTGGGTATCTCCTTGAAAGGCAGTATCTGCTGCTACCATAGAGTCAGACAAGAAATGCAGTAAAAGGTGGGGCTGAGGGCAGATGCTGGGCAACTATGAGTCCATGTCCCACTCCCCCTGACCAAGGCTAACCTTGTCCCAGGGGTCTCAAACTGGAAGAAGGCTTGAGAGCTGAGCCTCCCCAATCCAAACTCCTGGGAAGTATGCTCCCCTGGCCTTCTGTGGTCACAGACACCTAGTGAGAGTAGGCAGGCCCCAGGAGCTGTACCCTCTCCATTGCCTGGATCTGGGGCCCTTGGGCTGGAGCCAAGAGAGTGGGAGGCAGGCCTGGTTCTACCCTGCATGCCTGCCCGTGCCCCAGCAATCCTCACCAAGGAACTCAGCCAGAGGCCTGGGTGCCTCCCTGGGAAGAGGGCAGGGTGAGGCAGAGCCTTTGCTTTCGGGTGCCACAGTCACTGACACCTGCAGACAGTTCTAAGCAAAGACACCCCTCCTCCAAGGAGATAGGGATGCACTGGGCCTTGGGATGAGAGCAGTGGGCCTAAAAAGCAGGTTGGTGCTTCTCCGGTAGGGCCATGATCTTCCCAGTACCCTTAAGTTGCTGTTCTGGTGGAGCTGGTCAGCAGGTAAGGGGCAGAGGGCAGTCTGGGGTCTGCCTGTGGCCAGAGGAGCAGGTCAGGGCCGCGCCCTACCGCCCCAGCTACAGCCTGTTTGCTCAAGACGCTGAGGTCTCAGGGCCAGTTAACAATTGTTAAGAAAAATCCTTCAACAAACTTCACTGAAGCGCAAGGACTCAAGGAGATCACTCTTGGGAACAGGGAGGGTAATGTCTTTGCAGGGACCAGGTGAGGGCCACTGGAGCTACAGCTTAGCTACCACTGTGTAGGAGGGAAGCTAGAAGACCAAAACCTTCCTGGGCTGCCTGGCCAGGGCTGGGAGACAGCAGTCACCTGGCCCACAAGGCTTGTGTCTGAAACCCTGGAAGCCAGAAGCCAGAGCCCAGAGCCCAGAGCCCAGATCCCAGAGCCCAGGCCCCAGGCCCCAGACCGGGGCAAAGCTACCCTGAAGAAGGCCAGAAGCTGCCAAGGGCAACCACATGACTTCCAAGGCCAGGGCCTGACTGATTTGGCCATGCTGTTGAAGGTGCAGAACAAGAAGAGAGGTAGAAGAGGCTGGGGGGCTGGCTGGGCTCTTGGGGTCTCCCGTTGCACTCTCCAGCCGCCTAGAGTCAACAGAAACGCGTGGTCTGATTAGAAACCATCATTTCTATCCCAATCCCGGAAAATTGACTGCGGTGCAGAGAGGGAGGCCTGAGAAGCAGCCTTAGGGGAGAGGGTCCAAGCTAATTAGGAGGCAGCATCCGGGGGCCCATTAGAGCGCAGGCTGCTGTCACTCAGCGGGTCTGAGTTCCCGGGAGCAGGGGCGGGGAAGGAGGGGCCGGCGGGCCCCTAGACGAGGACACCGCTGGGAGCTGCCGGGACCGGCCCCTGGCTCTGCCCCCGCCCTGGCGCTGGCTCGAAGGCACCCGCTCCCTGCGATCTTGCCCAGCGAACATTCTCATTCTAGGCTGTTCTCGCGGGGGGCTGGGGACTTCGAGGCGGCCCAGACAGGAGTTGATTCTGAGGAAACAAGTCATTTGGGGCCTGAGGTGGGCACGAGCCGCGCGGGACTTGCAGGCCAGATGCGTTTCTTTTGTGAGGCCGAGGGAAAACTCGGTGTGTCACCGGGGAAGGAGGGAGCGGCGCGGCGAGGCCGCGGGGGGCGGGGAGGCGGCGGGAAGGTGGCTGCAGAGGGGGAGGGCGCGGGCGAGGCAGGGAAGGAGGGAGGGCGGCAGAGAGGGCGCGGCGGCGCGGGCGGCTGGGGGCTGGAT